CTGGCAAAAACTTAAATTGATATGTTATGAAAAATTGCAATGTTTTTGCCAATATGTCTCCAAGGGTAAGGGAAACAATAAAAAAATAAACAAATGGGACTATATCAAAATTAAAAAGCTTCTGCACAGCAAAAGAAACTATCAAAAAATAACTTCAGATTGAGTTTTTCAAAATATCTGTTTTTTCATTGATTCTAACATGTTCTCCATGAGAATGTGGCCTGCCTTTTAGGTTGAGAATTAGTATTTGTCAAAGTGTTACCAAATGGTGTGAGCTGGAATTTGTGGTTTCTGTGAAAGTGAGGGTTGCAGGTGGGAAAAGAAGCAATGAGTTATTAGAGTCGAATGTCATCGTGAGGTGGATGAGCCACAATAATGGCAATAAGTTCCCTAAAATAATTAACATATTTCATTCGGATCCTGTTCTGTATTTTATAGGTGACTAGAGGCCCAGTGCACGAATTCGTGCATGGGTGGGGTCCGGCCGGCTGAGGGGAGAGGCCACAGGTGGTTGGCTAGCTGGTCCCTCCCCCTGGTCAAACTCCTGGTCTAGGGGACAATTTGCATATTAGCCTTTTATTATATAGGATAGACATTTGCATATGGATAGACATAATCTGGAAGCATACCTAAATTTTGATGCAAGCCAGGAACCAAAGCTAGAGATTAGGAGATTTAGCAATTAAATGGAGGAAAAGGTAACTTAATGTTTACAATTATGATGGAGAGAGAAGTGAACTTCTGTGTGTGTAGGTTTTTCCAAAGTGAGAGATACACATACTCCTTATGGATATTTAGCCACCAGCAATATGGAGCACAGGTACCAGAGGGAAGCAGAGTTACATGTAGATATAAAAGCCTCTTGGATCAGTCGGCAGGCCCTTGAATGAGAAATCCCACAGGTGGCAGCAAACAGATGAATACCCTAACCCAGTGGTCAGCAAACTGCAGCTCACGAGCCACATGCGGGTCTTTGGCCCCTTGAGTGTGGCTCTTCCAGAAAATACCAGTGTGATTGAAACTTCGTGGCCCACATGCAGAAGTCGGTATTTTGTGGAAGAGCCACACTCAAGGGGCCAAAGAGCCGCATGTGGCTCGAGAGCCGCAGTTTGCCGACCACTGCAACCGATGCAGGACAACCACCTTCTCTGTAAACTCTGTCCAATGTCTGGAACGGCACACGAGATGCGGTCTGACAACAATGAAACAGAGACAAAGAGAATCTTCGTGAAGCACAATTCGCAACAAAATAAATAACACCTCCCATATGAGGCACTTGGTTATGAGAACAGAGTGGAAAATGGGGCTAGTTCACTCGAGAGAGATCTCGATATATTTGGTTGAATTTGGGGTTCCAACGTCACTATGACAGAAGTCAGTGTCAAAATGCATATAAAGCACGTATCATAGTAACGACTAAATTCACCCAAGACAGTAACAGTCACATTGCTGAGCACGGACTTGTTGCCCGATGGCCATAGAAGCCAGTACCATGGCACCCGCTGCTGAGAAAAGCGAAAGCGTTATTGCGAGGCAGACCCGCAAGGAGACAAGAAGCAAAGCTCGCATCTGTCTCCCTGATCTGGGGTTTGGGGCAAAACTGAAGAGGTTTCAGCACAAGATCTTCCTGGACAACAGACCCTTTGCCTCCGAAAGGGTTCTGATGTCCAGGTTCCAGCCATGATCAGGTCCTTTGTAAAAAATAAAAAATATATATATATATATATTCAATTACAGTTTACATTCAATATTTTTAATATATTTTAATTGTTGATAGTATTACAGATACCTCCCATTTTCCACCCTTACAGCCTTTACCCCCCCCCCCCCGCCCCCCAGGTCTTCACTGCCCTACTGCGTGTGTCCACGGGCTGTGTATATAAGTTCTTTGGTTTATCTCTTCTCATCCCCCAAACCCCACATCCAAGTATGTTAGTCTGTTCCATGCCTCCCTGCTTCAGGTCTTATCTTGTTGGTCAATTCATTTTGTTCATTAGGTTCCACAAATAAGTGAGATCATGTGATATTTGTCTTTCTCAGATGGGCTTATTTCACTTCGCATAGTATTCTCCAGGCCCATCCATGCTGTCCCAAAGGGTAAGAGGCCCCTCTTTTTCATAACTGCACAGTATTCCGTAGTGTAAATGTCCCACAGCCCTTTTAGGTTCTGAATTTAATTTGTAACGTTTTCTCCTGTACATATGCTTCAGATGCATGACTTGCAGTTTTGTTTTGTTGTCTCTCTCAATATCTTGTAAGAAACAGGATAGGGCCAGTTTGAGCTGGTTCCTAGGTTACAAACCCCCTTTTTGTTCATTTCTCAGTCGTGCAGAGTAGGGGCAGTGCCTGCTCTAGCTGCTTACTGCTGATAAGGGGACAATGGATCTGATTTAATTCTTCAAAAAAAGTTCAAGGAAGCATAACAAAGTAGAATACTAGGACCATACAAGCAAATATCACAATCAGGAACAAATAGCACAGTGTTTAAAGCAAAACAATAGCAAGTTAAAGTGGAGAGTTTAGTGAAATGATTAGCTTAATATGGTAACTCCAACTACAGTAAATTTAGGGTGATACAGGCCTAGTCAGGACTGCTGGGCGGAAGCAGTCTACTTCTGAGATGTCTGGGTTTTCTCCTGGCCAGCTGGGGTCTCGGTCATCCTGTTCTTTTCAAAAGTAATTAAAGACCAGTTAAGGGTTCACAGGTGTTACTTGTGGGTGGTGCATCCCAGGTTTAACTAATAGGACTTCACAAGGCCCACTCCACTTTCCTTTCAGCTGATCTTCAGGGTCTTGATTTCACCCGTGGTCAGCAAACTCATTAGTCAACAAAGCCAAATATGAGCAGTACAACAATTGAAATTTCTTTTGAGAGCCAAATTTTTTAAACTAAACTACAGTGGGGCCTTGACTTACGAGTATCCCGACTAACAAGTTTTTTTGAGATACGAGCCGTCTCTCGGACGATTTTTTGCTTTGAGTTGCGAGCTCAAAAAAATTCGGGTTATGAGCCAGCTTCAGATACCCCACCGCTAGTTGGTGCAGCGAACGTCACAGTGATTTGACATACGAGTAATTTGAGTTATGAGCTCCGTCACGGAACAAATTAAACTCGTAAGTCAAGGCCCCACTGTATATAGGTAAGTACATTGTTATTAACTTAATTAGGGTGCTCCTAAGCCAGTGATGGCGAACCTTTTGAGCTCGGCGTGTCAGCATTTTGAAAAACCCTAACTTAACTCTGGTGCCGTGTCACATATAGAAATTTTTTAATATTTGAAACCATAGTAAAACAAAGACTTATATTTTTGATATTTATTTTATATATTTAAATGCCATTTAACCAAAAAAAATCAACCAAAAAATGAGTTCGCGTGTCACCTCTGACATGCATGTCATAGGTTCGCCATCACTGTCCTAAGCTGGCCTTTGCTAAAAACGTCCTCAATCTGATTGAGGTACGTTCGCTGAGGTCGACCCCTTCCAACTCTCCCTTCCACACTCGTCTTGTATACTTGTTTCGCCTATCTCCTTTCCGAAAACCGACTTCTGCACATGGGCCACAAAGTTTCAATCGCACTGTATGTGCGCGCCCACACGTGGTATTTTGTGGTATTTTGTGGAAGAGCCACACTCAAGAGGCCAAAGAGCCGCATGTGGCTCGCGAGCCGCAGTTTGCCAACCACTGGTCTAGACCGTCTAGAAGAGTGCCCAACCCCTGGGCTTCTGCAGTGTAAGAAAGCATCTGTGCGGACCTGACCAGTTTGGCCCAGTGGATGGAGCGTCAGCCTGCAGACCGAAGGGTCCCAGGTTCAATCCAGGTCAAGGGTATGTACCTTGGTGGCTTACTTCGCTTAGCATAATAATGTCCATTCACGCTGTCCCAAAAGGTAAGAACACTGACAGAATTCAGAATCAGAGGCTGTTTTTGAGTTTATCATATCATTTTCTTTTTATATTCATCATATTTGTGCATTGATATGTTTGTCTAGAGGAATAAATGGTAGCATTTTCAACTTTCAAAAAATATTTCATGGTATTTTATTAAATAGGTATATTTCTAAATATTTACATATTTACAATGATGTATAAATGCCTGTACAAAAATAGAAAAATCTCTGCAGAGCTGTGATTTTAACAACGCTTAATGTTTAACAATGGGGGCCACTTGTGTTAAATTACAGGGAAGACTTTAATTTTTTACATTTTATGCTTTATATTGTTTAAATTTATAAGCGTTAGCAAATGATTGATTTAAAATTAAAATACAAACTCTAAATCAATGATCACGTGTTTTCACAACATTTGTGAATAAAAAGTTATATTCACAAAGCTTCTGGGGCTGCAGCAAAGGCAGAGCACTGGATGTGGTGACAAGCACAGATATATCTCACTACAAATCCAGAGGGGCTTGTACATACAAAATATGCTAACATTGAGCAGAACCGCAGTGAGGTCTTATGTAACATTGTTTTAATTCTGGTTTGGTAACAGTGACTTCAAATGTGACGAGTCACATATTTTATGGAGAAACAGGAAGATTAATGTAAGTGGTCAGTACCGTCTGAGCAGAAAAGGCACCTGGACCACATGATGGACACAGCTCTGTATGGAGAAGTCCCACAAAATCACTAACCTTGGGTTTTGTGCACCCTAAGCCCTGCTTTCCCTCGACCCCAAAGTCCTAAGCACTTTTATCCTGTCCTGTTTCCTCTTAGAAAAAGAAGTGAGAGCACAATTGGACCTGGGCCTGAAAGAACCAGCAAGCATCAGGTTCTGGTAGCAGAGGCCTTCCCATTTCTTCATTCATGTGGGGTCTCTGGGGTGGTCTGCTCGGGGCTTGAGCCAACTTTGCCTTCCAGTAGAGGTGGAAATCGTCTCGTGGAGGGCATTCCCCTGGATGGGGCTACTGGACAGCGGATTCCCCAGATCTCTGAAGAACACACTGGTTCTGAGGCCTGGGTCACAGATGCTTTATAAAGAGCAGAGTCTTCCATAACTTAAATAGCATCCTCGTAGTCATCATCTGAACTGCTTGCGGTTTTCACTCCAGAGTAGATGGCTGAGGGGTCCTAGAAGCAGAGGCACAGGGGTAGGGCCCGAGCAGGGAACACAGGGAGAGCATGCCTCCCACCAGTTCTCTTTCCCAAGCAGCTAAAGGCATGGTGCGCCGTGCAGCACATGAATTAGAAGTTACTGGAAGGCTGTGGCCCTGGGGCAGCCGTTTCAGAGGGTCTGCATTCACTGATGACCTGCAAACTGACCCAAACATACGAGGCCTCTCTCATTCTTATGGGCCGTTGCGAGGCAGTCCCAGGGGCTGTCAGGTTTTTTTAATTTCAGAATTTGGTATTCATAAACTAAAGGTAGTGTGCCGCCCAGGGGTTTACCACGGACTTGAATTCTGTCCTGAGACATTTGACCGTCACACCACACTTAACAAAATTGCAAAGCACCTGCTGTCCCTGCATCCGTGAAGAATCACTATTTCTGCATTTTATGAAAGCATTTTTGTATCATCAGTGATGTTATGAATTGTTCAAAGTTTAGAAATTGCCTATTTTTAATTATAAACATCACTGTTTAGCTTATTAATTTATATTTCTACTAGAGGCCCGGTGCATGAAATACATGCACAGGTAGGGTCCTGGCCGGCAATTAGGGCTGTTAGGGGCCTTTTGGCTGCCAGCGGGGGCCTCCCCTCGTTCCATGCTGCCCCCTGGTGGTCAGCACATGTTATAGTGAGCAATTGAACTCCCAGTCTCTCAGTTGAACTCCCGAGGAGACACTTTGCTTATTAGCTTTTTATATATGTAGATGTGTTGCTTAGTTAACCTTACAGCACAAAGTTATATGTGTACAGCTTAACAGTATTTCAGTGTAAAGATTTTTAAATAAAAATTTTAGACCGGGTAAATACTACAGTTTAGTCCCAAGTCACCCATATGTCCATGGCTAAAATACATGTATACGCAAGCCTCCCAAATGTCCTTCTACAGTGACACTTCATTGTTATGAATGTTTTTCTCCCCACTGTGTGAGAAGACAAAGGAGAAGATAGACCATGGGATCTTTCATTTTTCCTTAGTGGCCATCATTTTAAAAGTATGACAACCAGCCGAAATCGGTTTGGCTCAGTGGATAGAGCGTTGGCCTGCGGACGGACTGAAAGGTCCCAGGTTCGATTCCGGTCAAGGGCATGTACCTGCGTTGCGGGCACATCCCCAGTAGGAGATGTGCAGGAGGCAGCTGATTGATGTTTCTCTCTCATCGATGTTTCTAACTCTCTATCTCTCTCCCTTCCGCTCTGTAAAAAAAATCAATAAAATATTTTTTTTTTAAAAGAGTATGACAACCACACCCCAGAAGAAAGAGCCTGGAGGAATTCCAACTCACCTTATCCTGCGTCTGTGTCCTCGGGGGTGGTACTGTGAAGAAAAGGGTGCATGCTGTGAGGTTGTACTTACACTTAAAGTCTTCACTAAGTTAGTTTTAATAAAGGCTTCTTCCTCTCCGGTCTATCGCCCATGGATTTATTTCTCTTACTATTTTTGTGTCACTTTTCTGCCTGTCACAAATACACTTCCCTTATATGCAGAGAAAAAGTAACAGCCTGGGGGTGGGAGGATAAGAAGGTCCCTCCTGGCATTTACATCCGCCAGCATTTCTGGGCCCACCGTGTACCAGGTAGGGCAACAGTAGCATTGGACGGCTGTGTCAGGTGCTGCAGGGAGTGCATAGGGCTCGTCACGGAGAAAAGCAGAAGCCACCTCTCCAGGGCTTGCACCTGACTGCAGAGTGAGGTGTACACTCCACCGTCAGGCACTGGGTTCTCCTCGAGGCAGGTTCCAGGCCAAAGGCCGGCCCTCAGAGAGGCACAACGATACGCAATCAGCGCCAAGGGCAGAAGCGACCACACGAAAGAGCACAGCTATACACAACCCTTTCTTGGTTCCAGGCAAGACAAAAGTCAGAGAAAAATGCGCTCCCTCGTGTCTTACCTGGCGCTGATCGCCGCTCCTGTTGCATATGGTACACCAGGGAGTAAACCTCACCTCCACTGACAACGTTCACTGAGAGAGGGGAAAGGAGGCGTTACGACACAGTCCCTTCTTCCTGCCATTTAACCTGCTGCAGACACACCCCCTTCTCAGCCCTGAAGACGAGTGGTCCATCTATTTGGGGAGGTGGCCGGAGCACAGCAGGGCCAGGTTTGACCAGCAGACATGACCCCGTGGCCTCTTCCCTGGCTCGCTCTACCTGCCTTGTTCCAGGTCAGGGGGACACCTCACCGTTTCCATATGTCGGCTGCTGCTGCACTGGAGCCGTTGCGTTCACGTAGGTGAATTCTCGGGGTGGAGGGCTGGGAGGGCTCCTGCAAACACAGAAACACGTGCTATCCATCTGTGCTAGCATTCCAGACATCGCCATCTGAGATTATGAGTAAGACACTGAATGAGAGGGGCCTGTTGGAAAGAGTTCTAAGTAGAATAGTGATTTCTGGGGAAATCAGCAATCCGCACCGCTGTGTGGTAGAAGCCACAGCCCAGTACAGGGGCTGAGTAAGACAAGGCAGAGTATCTCCAGGCATACAGTCCAGAAGTGTAAGGCCCTCGGCTGATGGCTCACTGTGGCATTGCCCACACCCGGGATGGTGCCTTTCACATTACGGGTGCTCAGTAAGTACCAAATGAAGAAATATTGACTCACTCCACATGGAAAGCATGTCCTAGCCGAACAAGGGTCTTGAGGAAAGGAAATAAGATGATTGTCTTGGCGTGTACATGCTACTCTGGTTTAGGGGGGGAGGGAAACACACCTCTTTTTTTGTTGGCGTAAACAATAACACATATAGAACATATCAAGTACATATTGATATCCCCAGATGAGAGCATTCTAAAAACCTTTCCCTCTTCTAAACTCCTAAAGAACTTTATCATGAAAATTTTCAGTATGTTCACTACTCTCTGGCCTGTGTTACAGAAATGTATATTTATCTATGATACTTCACGACTCTCAAAATTTGTATATATTTTCAGGCCTTTCAGCACTCGACGGAATGACTTGCAGACTCTCAGATATTGGTGAACTGACTGAATGAATACATCGAATGTGTCCAAGTAATGTAGCTTTCTTATTCTACAGATTTAGTGAAGGCGGTAAACTAGGAAGAATGATGAAAGGATTTAAATTAATTTGTTAATATATAAAAGAAGAGGAGGAGCAAATGAATATTCCAAGTTATCAGTGAGGGAACTGTGTGGTGGAAGTTTTGGATATAATAAAAATATGGTTCGGCTGCCGTGGCTCAGTGGTTGAGCATTGACCTATGAACCAGGAGATCACAGTTCAATTCCCGGTCAGGGCACATGCCTGGCTCGATCCCCAGTGTGGGGTGTGCAGGAGGCAGCCAATCAATGATTCTCTCTCATCATTGATGTTTCTATTTCCCTCCCCCTCTCCCTTCCTCTCTGAAGTTAGTAAAATATATCTATATTTTAATATGAAAAAAGCCCCTGAGAGAGGACCATTTAACTTTTATAAAATAGATCTTTCTACACTGTCCGTGCAGAAAGAGGAAGCAGAGGCTCACCTGGGTGGGTCCTTGGCTGGACGTCTTCCTGAAAGTCAAACACATGAACACACGTCAGTGGGGAACTCTTTTCACCAGTTTTCCTGTAGCGCTTGTGCGAGCATGTTTCCGCCCGTCACAGATGCCACTGTGTGCCCAAGGGACAAACTGGCAGCCATTCAGGCCGGTCCTGCATTTTGCAGATGAAGAGACTCCGGCCTAGAAGAATTAAGCGAGCTTTCCAATGACAGTGAATACCAAAGCTTAGACTTGAGCTCAAGCCTTCGAACCTTCAGATCTATTATATTTTTTGCTTCTGATCGTACAACCACACCACCTAGTTCAGGGGTGGGCAAACTTTTTGACTCGAGGGCCACAATGGGTTCTTAAACTGGACCGGGAGGGCCGGAACAAAAGCATGGATGGAGTGTTTGTGTGAACTAATATAAATTCAAAGTAAACATCATTACATAAAAGGGTACGGTCTTTTTTTTTTTTTTTTTTAGTTTTATTCATTTCAAACGGGCCGGATCCGGCCCGCTGGCCGTAGTTTGCCCACGGCTGACCTAGTTTTATCGTGACAAGATCCTGCAGGGGAGGCACTGCCCAGCCCTATGATAGATGGGGTGAGGCACCCAAAGATGCAGAAAAAGCTTGTAATTTAAATGAGAAGCTCATAGTGTCTTCTCTTGCCTCATCTCCAACTTGATCAACGGAGACCAAGAAACCAAGATTAAAGGTACAAATAAATATTTAATTACCAATGGGGATAAAGTTAAAAACTAAATAACTTGGTACTCTGTTGATGAATACTAGAAGAGAATTGTAGGCTGTGTGGCTAGGTGAAGCCTCTTGGGGGAAAAATGACATTTAAGCCTGGCCGGTGTGGCTCAGTGGTTGAGCATCGACCTATGAACTAGAAGGTCACGGTTCGATTCCCAGTCACAGCACATGCCCGGGTTGCAGGCTCAATCCCCAATGTGGGGCATACAGGAGGCAGTTGATCAATGATTCTCTCTCATCATTGATGTTTATATATCTCTCTCTCTCTCTATCCCTTCCTCTCTAAAATCAATTTTAAAAATATGTATTTTTTTAAATGACATTTAAACTGAAAAGTGGAAAAAGACCCAGCAATGAGTAGAATGTGAGGCTGTGTGGACAAGCATTGGGGGTGGGGGGTGGGCATGTAATTTCAGTCTAAGGTGCATAAGAATTGATGCATTGACTTTAGTTCGGAGATGGTCAGTATCGCTGGAACTGCTCCCTGTATTTCTCATCCAGTAGCTGATTCGTTATTTAAATAGTTACATTTTCATATAAAATTAAATCACAGAATCATTAGATATCAGTTGGATTTCAACTGATAATACAAAGGGGATAGGAACTTGACTAACAACATTACATTACTTTAATAGGTGCCGTTCCCTGCTGGGAGTTGTAAGCAGGTCTGCAGGCAGGGTGACGCACACAATGCATTCATTCTTTATAGTATACGTGACACAAATGCAGCCTATTTCAGTGAAAACCAAGGTCACAGTAACAGCATACCAATCTCCATAAATACTCACCTGCTTTTCTCTTGAGCCAACAGCAAAGGAATAGGGCCATAGTGGTGAGACCAAGGCCGCCAAGCAGCCCCTCAAGGATGGGTGAGGCAGGGTTTTCTCTGTCCTCTGCAGGCACTGAGGAGAGAGACCTGTGCGTAAGCTGCCAGGGAGAAGGACTTCGATTTGGAGAGCAGCCGCCTTGAGGCCAAGGTCAGCCCTTTGCAGGGGGAAGGGGCAGTGAACTTAGTTATCTAGAGACTTGCAGCTCTTCTCAACGATGAAAGAACCAGAGATGCACCCAGCCACTAGGTCCTCCAGGCCCCTCAGATACACCCCCAGGACGGCACCACCCACCGAACCCCATCTGGGGTAACACAGCAGCAAAAACACTGCGAGGCCCGTGAAACCCTCCCAGGCTGCTGAGAAAGAAACGTTCACCAAGACCGTTCGGTGGGCTGAGCTGTACCTGTGACGTAGAGGGGCACCGCCTCACTGCGCTGGGCTCGCTGGCCATTGTCGGCCTCACAGGAGTAGTTCCCACGATGTTCTGAGGTCAGAGAGAGGTTCAGGAGGCTCCTCCTCCGAAGGGGGCTGAGCTGCTCCCAGAGGACATCCTCGAGTAAACTGGTACCGGATGGAGAGAGCGCTCTCGGCCTCGCAGTGCAGCT